CATGACATGTGCAATTATCAATAAACTCCAAGTTTATTATGATATGAGTTTTTATATCAATAAATATCCACTTTAGTATGGTGTTCTTTTATTTGTGTAGTACAAACTGGAGAATAAAGCGGGTAACTTTTCACATACATATTACCCCGCTACAAGTTGTAGTAATAGAAAATATTAAATATTTCCTTTATTTATAGTCTCAATATAATCAACTGCTTTCGCGTGTACTTTGGAAACTGAATAAGTTTCTTTGAGACTTACTACAACACAATACCTTATTGGTAGTCAATTGTGTTTCTCCAAAATAGTATAATTGGCTCTTGCAAAGTTCTCAATTAATTTTGTATTACCACATATTCATGAACATCAATATGGTGAATATCTCTTTTAAAGAAAAAGTTATACCATTGTGGTCATGGTCAAATTATATGCAAGATATGTTTCTTGCATTAATATTATTCTTTAATAATCGCATTGCCAAAATATTTTGGTGTGCAATAGGTACGTGACCAATGACCATTCATGCCATAATAATGATATTATTTTCTTATATCATCTCAAACCTCCTTTTAGAGGTGAGTGTGATATATTCACTACCACTAGCACGTTCATATTCTTCCAAAAATGAATATGTATTCATAAATTAGATTTCACTTATTTAATACCTATTGATAGTTAGCAATGTTAATTGTTGATTGTTGAAAATTTAAGATACTTCTTGCACCACTAATCCAAGATTACACTAATCCAAGATTATACTTCTAAAACTACATAAAAGAGTTATTGAAAACATATTAATCGCAAGAGTATTAAAAAGAGTTTCACTTTTTGCACATGCTTTCAATTAACTTAATTAGGTTATCAAACTATTCCTTGTTTATTTGAACAAATTCTTCAAGCTCATACAATTTTCACAGTGCCTTAATTATTTGTCAACGCTCAAGTAGGACTGCTCAAGAAGGAGAAAGAAACAAATAAGTAATTGACTATATATTTTGATCAATAATTGGGTTACATAAGAGGGGACAAAACTAGGAAAAATAAAAACTTGGTTTAACAACCTACCGTCAAATCTATTGTTGTATTTACTATCTGCTATGGCTTTAAAGCAGAAACTTTAATTTAGTTACATACAAATCGATTGTTGTATTTACATTAAAATCTAATCAATGTTATTTAATCAAGCCACCCGGAGCACCTGCACAGAGAACACGCGAGCAGAGGGCACATGACTTGGGAACTGCATTAGACTCTATGCATGAACCGACAGAAATGAATATTGACCAAGCAGAAAAAGAAAATGATGAGAACCCTACACCTGCTAATCTTTACCGTCTTCGCTCCGCTCAGAACACCAAGTTAATGTTGGAGGTGCAGGAGAGGAATATAGTGATGCTGCAAATGCTTAGAACAATTTATGCTGCGCAAGATGCTGCAAATGCTGAGGAAGAAGCTGCAAATGCTGAGGACGAAATGGTGATGCAAATGGTGAAGAAGCTCAAGGTGGGCAGGCAAATGCTGGAAATGTGGATGAGACTGGAGATGAAGACAACAAGGATGATGAGGATTCTGAGAAAGATGNATGCTGAGGACGAAAATGGTGATGCAAATGGTGAAGAAGCTCAGGGTGGGCAGGCAAATGCTGGAAATGTGGATGAGACTGGAGATGAAGACAACAAGGATGATGAGGATTCTGAGAAAGATGATGATGATTCTGAGGGAGCAGATGTTGAGGAATATTCTGAGACAGATGAGGATGATGATTGTGGTGGAGCGAATGCTAAGGATTCTGAGAAAGATGATGATGATGATTCGGAGACAAATGAGGATGATGATTCTGAGGGAGCGAAGGCTAAGGATTCTAAGGCTGAGGATTCTGAGGGAGTGGATACTAAGGATTCAGAGGATGAAGATGATTGAGCCTAGTTGTTTATGCAATACTTATTGTGTTATTTATGTTTATAAATTATAAACTTATTGTTGTTATGATCAACTCTAAATTTAGAGCTTGTTATTATGTTTAAACTTGAATTATTATGTTAATTACTATGTGTGAACTTATTATTATTATCTACTTCTTATGTTAATTACTCTTTAAATATTTGTTATCCAATCTGTTTGAACTATCATATCTAAAAACATCTATTACTAGGCTCAAAGTAATTAGAAATTTACTTATCTCATTTGAATCTCTTCTTCTTCTTTTTTCTTTTTTTTCCATTTTTTTTTGTAAAAGAAAAAATATCGACAAGAACAACAAAAAAGGAAAAAAATTCAAATACCTCAGATTTGCAGCACAGTCTTGAAGGTATAAATGGTCAAATCAAACAAAAGAGTGAAAAGGTAGAATTTTGTGTTAGAAATTTAAGGATATGAATTTGCAACAGATTTCAACAACAAAAATATAAAAAGCTTCGAACCGTAAAAGTTAGATCTTGTAGTAAAAAACTACAAAGAAATATTAATTAAAACAAAATTATAATTATTTAAAATCTAAGAAGAAGGTAAAATCCAACCTTCGACACAAAATGTCAGGAATAAGAAAACGTACACAAAGAAAAATTGGTTGATGTAAAAACACAAATTAATTAATAAAAAATAGGTGAAAATTTGGACGAGGAACAGAAACAACAAATACAATGTTAGTGGAATAAACGATTTACAAACCTAAGGAATATTTTTGATATATATCTTGGCTTTTGAGAAAGCTCTGGACATGTGTTATGAAAGACAGAGAGAGGGGTTCTAAGATGAGAACTAGAATATTGAGAGAAAAAAGAGGGGTAGAATAGAAACGAACACACAACTCTTTCGGCAACAAGGTGTGGGTTGTTGCTTATAAATTATAATGAGGTGTTAGGTTAGACGGTAAAAATTGCTTATTTGACCGCCTCCATTTAATTTATATTTTTTTTTATAAGTTTTAATTTATACTTACCTTTTAAACAAGTTCAACCTTTTTTATACCTAGACTACAAAATTTGAACGTCAAAGATCTCTGATTTCTTTCACCATTCATATCTCTTACCATGGAAGTTCATTAGTTTTTCTTTTTAATAATAACACAGAAAAAGAATCTTTTTTCATCATCACACTAATTGCACAAGAAAAATCTAAAACCTAAAGATGTTAGCAGAAAGTTGACTAATGACTACCATCCTAAAAATAGTCAAACTATAATGAATCCCTTCAAGCAGAAAATTCATAGATGTATCTTGAGAGCATGGGTTGTGCGGCTAAAATGTGTTGAAGTTCAGCAAATATATAATAAAACTTTAGCTAAAACATGTTAAGTTCAGCAAATAGAGAATAAAACTTTAGCTACTAGAATGCTTAAGTTCAGCAATTACAAACAAAAACTTCAGCAAATAGAGAACAAGTTTCAACTACTAGAATACTTAAGTTCAACAATTAAAAACAAAAACTTCAGCCAACACTTGGTTCAACAATTTGCTATTTCAGGCCCATCTACTAGAATGCTGAAGTTTGCGTGATTGCCTTTGCTACTTCAGGCCTGTATGTCTGAAGTTACGCGAAAAGTTAGTACGCTTGTAATTTTTTTATAAATCGGATATAAATTAAAACGTGACCAAAAAAGTGGTTATAGATGCAAATGCCCCGTTAGATTGTGTGTGGGCCCACTCTCATTTAGGGGTTCAGTATTCGACTATAATACTACACTAACTAATTAGTGTTTAGATAATTTAATGGTTGGCAATGGCATTATTTACAAATAAATAAGTTTAAATACACATTTGTTTTTTCCTCTTTTCGTGTGTTTGTATGAATAGTTCATGCAACAGCATTGACTTTTCTATTTCATAACATCCAATAACATTATACTCTTTTCTACCTGTTCAAAAATAATAGTACATTCTTTCCTCTTAAATTATCTATAGTTCTCTTATTTTACATTTATCATAAGAAATGTATTAATTAGAAGAGTATTTGACTCACAGTATCCTTATTTATGTTTAAAATAAGATCTTTCTCCATTAACTATTTATTCTGTTTATGTGGTCCATCTCCGTTCTAGAAAAGGTAAAACTTGGCACACTTCCCTATACTCACTCATGTTTTCACAAAATTAGCAAGTGCTCCGTGATTTTTTTGTTATCTAAAATAAGTAATTTTTTTAGATTTTAAGAATTAATTTAATTATTATTTTTTATATTTTTTTTGAGTAAATAATATTAGGGTATGTATTAAGAGTATTTAGTGAAGAAATTAAAGATTAATATGATCAATTTTATTGCTAAATAAAATTAAAGGTAAGTTTTTTAATAAGTATAAAAATAACCAGAAAAATCACTTATTTTGAATAGGAGAAAGTAATGATTATTTTAGTTATAGAAAGAAACAAATATATACTCACACGTCTCTAAAAGCTGAAATTATTTGCTTTGCATGCACACAGTTTATTGAGACACGCGCTCTGTTAGGTCCCATCACACCCCACTTGCCTTTGTCTCGTCAACGGAACAAATTATGAACCACATATATAGCCTGTTTGGCCTAAGCTTTTTTCGGCAAAACTACTCTTTTTTTTATAAAAGTGTTTTAGCCAAAAATTTTGGGGTTTGCCAAACTTTTAGAAGTTAAGCATATTAATGAACTTAAGCATATTAATTTTATTGTACCATATTAATGAACTTAAGCATTTTATTTTTTTTCTTCACCATTTCTTTTTCTTGTATATGCTCCTTCTAATTTTAACATAGAGGATAAAATTATCAACAATCAAGAGACATTTACACTTGGCCAACAATCAAAAGTGTTTCAATTGCGCAAGCCGCGTTCTCTCTAGTTGCAGAGTATAACTGTTTACCTTGAAAATGATAATTACAATTATATTTGATTTTGTGGTTCTAAAAATATGTGATTTATTTTTATACTGGTTGTTAGGCAATAAATGTTATGTATGAGCTGGGACGGTAAAGTAAGAGTAAGAGACATTGTGGTTATTCAAACCGAACAACTGCGAATCGGGGTCTCGGATTGGCCTAAGTTGGGCCTCGAGGTTGAGCTAGTGAGCTTGACTGGGGATAATCGATGAAGGACTAACAGTTCCAAGGGCCTCAATAATGGCTTTTTATGATCAATGATGAATAATAAGTGAGGAACAATCAATGAAACACGATAAATGTAAGCAATAAATTAGAGAAAAAATAATGGAGAATGTTTTAGTTGGAGAGCAGAGAATGTTCTTGTTCTTGTATTGAATATCATGTATGTAAGAAATAGCAAGGGTCCCCTTTATATAGGAGGGAGATCCCAACATGGTACATGTATAATTATTACAAAGAAACGTAGCTGGTACAACTACTTAATGACCCGGTACGGATTTGTACCATTCTTGCATGCGTTGTCAGCTTTGACCACGTGCCTTGGGAATTTTTTCGCTTATCCATGATAGCCACCGATTTGCGCTGCCCCGAGACTGAGCATAGGGAACCCTTGGGGTCGGACCTCAATCATAAATTCGAATTCTCCGATTTTAGCCGTATACAGATAGTCCCCACATTTCTTAGAGTAAAAATGATAAGAAACGATCTTGAATTCTTGCCTCTTTGACACTTCCATCATGGCGTCAATTACGCTATATCAATCGATTAATGTAACCGAAAAGGTGTCTAAAGGTCACGTCCACACAGCCCTTGAAAAAGCCTTTAAATTGATTACAATGGTTAGCTATCTTTTGGCCAGCTCCAACGTACATGATTGGACCCTATATATACTTCTTCCTTCGCCCGTTATTTTCAATTGTATCACCAAGCCTTCAAAAGAGTTCTTCTTACTTCTCTCTTGTGTTCTTTCTCTGATTACAATTTCTTCTCTCCTCTAAAATCTTTTAACAAGCATGGCGAAGACTTCCACCTCTATCTCTCAGGAAGATGTGCCTTCCTCTTCTTCATGATCGTCTAAGAGCAAGGCAACGGTACCCCCCATCTTAAGGAATGCATCCTAGGAACCTTCGAAACGACCTCCGATTTCAAGGTCGACAAGCCTTCATCGAAGCCGGGATGATGTGAACTTGTGTCCCGATATATTAGTTTAGTAGCAGACGTCGAGAAGGTGAAGACTGACTGCCGCTAGGGGGACGCAGTGCTGGTGGAGATTCCTTCTCGAGGAGAGGACATAATGACATACAAGGCTGGCTTTCTTAGTGTGTATACCTATCCATTTACTCTTGGCCCGGTGGAGCCATCCTCGCCTTCAATAGACCCTGTGATCCTCGGCTTTTATGAATGATATAATTGATTCTAGGCCAAATTCATCCGTCATTTTGTCGTATTGTTTACATGATCAGATACTTTACGAACATGATTAAGGGGATGCCCTTCAACCTCGACCACTTGATTAGAATGTACAGTCCCCGACTCTTCCACAAGGGCCTGATTAAGCTCAAATGTTGGGCCTTGAAAGCCTTTTTTGCTTGTACTGCCGATGTTAGGGACAGAGGGTGGACGAACCGTTTTGTCTGAGTTAGGACCTCGGACCTGGTCCCAGTGGAGAACATGTCGTTCCCTGAAAGGTGGAACACGAAACGTAAGTGGATATGCTGCTTAGGTATTTCCTTTTCCATTTGGATCAATTTCCCCATGAACTGACTTCCTCCGTTGATGCAGCTGCCGCAGCGTACCCTAACGCGATTAAGGATCTCTCAGACTGGGTTAGCCGGCTAGATTTGACTTGCCCATATATTGAGAGCATGTGGCGCGACCTGTGTAGGGCTTGATGGGAGGCCAAAAACCATGGCGAGACCTCACTTCTGCTGTAATTGAATCCTTCAGAAGAACTATCAGCGATTGTGCCTTGATTACCTATGTTTACATTTTGTATTTGTGCAGGCCTAGGAGAGGCCTCCTTGATGAGAGAAGCACCGTCTGGGGAAGCGGATACCCCAAAACCTGACTAGGAGAAGCAAAAATGAAGGAAATCGTCGACTGAGCCTTCGAAATAAAAGAAGGCCAAAGTGGAAGAACCTAAGGCTGATTCAGCAGCCTTAACTCCAGAAGTATCGGGGAGTCCCTGAGCTGAAGGCGAGGAAAAAGATGATTCATCGGTAGCACCCGAGGGAGGAAAAAACTTGACCATCCCACATATTGCTGAGCCGGTGGCTTCTAAATCGGAACTTGATGCTGTTGTTGTCCTACCTCGGGCTGAAGATGCCTTCGAGGGTGTATTGGGTAATATCCTTGAGCTAGTTGATGGCTAAAATATTCCTCAAGCTGAGGGGCATTCGGTAGGCGGTCTGGAGGATCCTAGCTCTAAAGTTTTCCAGAAACAAGAGACGGCCCCGATTGGTCCAGTCGGGGTTATTGACGTGAGCGATTCCCTTTCGGGGCCGATTTTACCCCCGTAGGAGATGCATGATGCCTAAAATAAAGAATCTTCCGATGTGGGGGCGCCCGTCGGAGATAAAGATGCATTTGAAAGGCTTTTTGCTGCGCCCGAGAAAAACCCTGAGCTCGATCCGCACTTATTTTTAGTGAGATCGATAGGCACTATGAGCAAGTAAGTTTTTGTGAATTTTGCTCGGTGCCCTGACCCTCGTCTTTCTAACTTTGTTTCTTTCACGGTTCTAGGCCAAGGTGCTTTATAATCAGACATTTGCCAGGTTTCAAGCCGAGTTGACTCGCTACAAGGGTGAGCGCAGGAAGCTCACCTCGGAAGCCGACGATCTTAGAGCTCTTTTTACCAAGAAGGAGGAGGAATTCCGTGGCCGTCGGGATTGATTGAAGGTGGCGTAACAAGAGAGGACTCATCTCACTGAGCAGGTTATATAGTTTCCGTTTGTTTTTGTCCACATGCTTACCCGACTTCAGTGTTTTAACACCTTTGGGACGATCTATACAGCTTGAGAAGAAATATGTCCCAATGAGGGAGGAGCTTCGAGCTAGAGACACTGAAATTCTCGAACTCAAACGACGCGTGAGTGAAATAGCCTCTGAGAGAGATACCCTCAATGGGGAGGTGGTCTTAGTCGGACATCAACTTCATGATGCAATGGCGGAGAGTAATAAATACAAAGATCTTCATACTGAGTTGGTTGTTGCGTTATGTGGGGCCAGGGCTAAAGCCGAGTCGCTTATATCCTTGTACAAAGATGATGTTGTTACTGCAAATGCTCAGGCCAGGAAGGTGTCCGAGGAGGCCGAGCTGCAAATTGACCCAAGCAGTGGAGCATGCCCGGTAAGAATCTCGAAGGCAGGCTCTCGAGGATATATATGCAGGGGGCATCGATTTATATACCAAGATTGAGAGGGTGAAGACCCTAGAAGAGGAGGCTGCAGCCCTGATTGCTTCTAAAGGTGAGACGAGCAGTGGCTCGGAAGATGATGAAGATGAAGGCGAAATCCCCGAAAGGGAAGAGGCCGTTGAAGACCCGGGGGCCGTAGCCGGAGCTATTGAAGGCAAAACCTCCGAGGAAGCCATCGAAGAAACAGCTCCGATGGTAGATTAGGGTTTTATTTGCTCTCTCCCTTGTAAGGGCTTTAGGCATAGGCCTTGTAAATGCACCCTTGTGAACTTTCAATATATATTTAAAAAGCCTTTGGTTTTTCATCATTTCTCGTTTTCCTTTGCTTTTTAGGAATAAACTGTGACGTTTGTTGACAAATGGTCCAAAATTTTGGACATCAAATTAAACCCTTAGGTTCTTGCTACTGCTGAGCAAATTGACATGGTCGAAAGTTGATCATTTGGGGGTTAGTCCCCAAGTAAAGTTTCGACTTGAGTTCATCGACCTTTAGGTCTAAAAATTGGCCCTGAGTCTATTTCAGCAGGTCCTTAGGCTCTTACGCATTGGGTAGGTGCGACCTCTAATCGGGCTGGCACTTAGGCTCTTACGCATTGGGTTGCTGCGACCTCTAATCGGGCTGGCGCTTAGGCTCTTACGCGTTGGGTCAGTGCGAACTCTAATTGGGCTGGTGCTTAGGCTCTTACGCGTTGACCTCTAATTGGGCTGGCTCTTAGGCACTTACGTGTTGGGTCGGTGCAACCTCTAATTGGGCTGGAGCTTAGGCTCTTACGCGTGGGTTGGTACGACCTCTAATATGGCTTTATTTTTCCCTCGTTAAAGACTTTTTGAAGTTTTTGAATTCGTTCGACTCTTCAACGATTTGATAAGAACCTTGATTGTGAGCCGTTATGTAACGATAAACAAGCACCTTGGGAGGTTTCGCTCGATGGATGAATTGTTTCAAAGCCTTTTCATTGTTTGGAGCTGACCTGATTGAAGCTCTTTTGTTTATGCCGATGGTAGCCTAATTAACTAGTTCTTTTCGAAGTAATTGAAGGCATGTGATTTTATGGCGATGATCGGGCGTCCCCAAGTTGCGTTAGTTTGACCGGAGCCCTATGATCGTAGTCATTGTGTTTGGCCGTAGCCTTTTAGTCCCCGAGTGAGGTAGCCTTGGCGTCTATATCGTGGGTATTCCTTATTAGGGGTCTTATAAGTTCGAATATATAGCCTTGACTTTAAGATCAGGATTATGCCTTTTGTAAGGTCCTATAAATTTGAACATGCCTTACTTGAGGTCTAACAAATAGGTTACTTGGCACAAGTATAATTTATGCCTTGATTGAGGTCTTACAAATTTGGTATTACCTTATGAAGGTCTTATGAGCTCGAGGTTGCTTTATGGAGGTCTAACATTTTCTAGAATTGCCACATGGAGGGCTTTCGGGCTCGAGGTTGCCGGCTTGGGGTCTTATAGCCTCGAGTTTTTGATAGTTTGATGGGGTGACAGTCGGCGATAGTCCCCAAGACATCGAAAGTTTTTGGCTCTGTAGCCGTTCTTTGATGTTGCCTTATTGAGGGCTTATGAGCTCGAAGTTTCTGGCCCGGAGGTCTTATGGCTTCGAGGTTTTGGTGTCAGTTCCCGAGTGTTCGGGAAATTTCTGGCCTTGGGGCCGTTTCTTGTAAAAATAGCAAACTTCTTTGAAGCGCGAAGCGTTTTGATGGTAAAAGATGCTCCTTTGATTACTTGGTACAAGTATACATAACGTGAGGTGTTTTGGTGGTAAAAGATACTCCTTTGATTACTTGGTACAAGTATACATGTTCTCATCGTCGAGGGATCGATTTTTCTATGCGGACACGGTTCATTTGACCATTTGGCCCGATACATCATTTTCCTATTGGGACCAACTTTGGCTTATTTTGATCTCTCCGATGGGGCGGATCTCCCGGGGGGATGCCCCCAGTATTCGAGGGTGATTGGAGAGAAGCCTTGAATACTTGTTGAGTCCTACTTAGGTAGCATATAGATGTAGCCTCATTAAAAACCTTGCTGGTAAAACCCTTTTTGGGATAAAATTTGATTGAAGGAAAAGAGTGCAATGCATGCTTTAAAACCCAAGGTCTTTGAGTTGAGAGGATGTTTTCGGTGTCTTCCATCGGACACCTTAACAATAATAGCGTTTGAGCATTGATATGTTCCAATTGCTTGGAAGCTGTTTGCCTTCCATGGTACCGAGCTTGTAGGACCCTTTGTCAATCACTCCGAGGACACGATATGGTCCTTCCCAGCTCGGGCCTAACTTCCCTTCATTAGGGTTTCGAGTGTTTAGGGTGACTTTCATTAGGACTAAGTCCCCGACTCCGAAATGTCGGAGATTTGCTCTCCTGTTATAGTACCTTTCGATTCTTTATTTTTGGGCATCCATTCAGACCAGTGAAGGTTCTCGCTTTTCATCTAATTGTTCGAGGGTTGCGGTCATGGCCTCGTTGTTTGAGCTCTTGGTGGCATGTTTAAATCTGGCGCTTAGCTCTCCAACCTTGACCGGTATGAAAGCCTCGTAGCCATATACTAGAGAGAAAGGTGTCTCTCCTGCGCTTGATTTTGGCATCGTTCGATATGACCATAGCACCTCGGGCAATATTTCTCTCCATTTTCCTTTCGCATTTTCTAACTTCTTTTTCAAGTTTTGAATGATGGTCTTGTTTGTGGACTCGGCCTAACCGTTTGCACATGGGTGGTAGGGTGTTGACATGATCCTTTTGATTTTACGGTCCTCGAGGAACTTTGTTACTTTGCTTCCGATGAAATGCTTCCCATTATCACATGTTATCTCAGAGGGAATCCCGAATTGACACATGATATGGTCCTAGATGAAGTTAATGACTTCTTTTTCTTTTATCTTCTCAAAGGCCTGCACTTCCACCCATTTTGAGAAGTAGTCATTCATAAATAAAATAAATCTAGCTTTACCTGGTGTCGTTGGTAGGTGTCCGACGATGTCCATCCTTCACTTCATGAACGGCCATGGTGACAAGACTGAATGTAGTTGTTCACCGGGTTGGTGAATCATCGGTGCAAATCTCTGGCATTTGTTGCATTTTTCGGATAAATTCTTTGGTGTCCTTCTCCATGCTGTCCTAATAGTAGCCTGCTCTGATCACCTTTCGGACTAAGGAATCGGCACCAGAGTGATTTTCGCAGGTGCCCTCGTGGATTTCTCGGAGCACGTAATCTGTGTCCCTGGTCCCAGGCATACTGCTAGGGGCCCATCAAATGTTCTTCTGTATAGAGTTCCATTTTCGTCGAGCGAGAACCGAGCTTCTTTTGTTCGTAGGTCCCTCGATTCTTTTGGGTCCGTGGGTAGCTTCCCACTTTCCAAATAATCAATATATTTATTTCTCCAATTCCATGTCAGGCTAGTGGAGTTGATCTCGGCATGGCCTTCTTCGATCACTGACTTGGATAGCTGAACAACGGCCCCGAGGAGTATGTCATATTCCTCGATAGATGATCCCAGGTTTGAGAGGGCATCGACCTTGCTATTCTGCTCTCGAGGTATGTGGACCAGAGTCCATTCGTTGAAGTGGTGGAGTGTGACTTGAATTTTTTCTAAGTATCTTCGCATCCTGTCTTGTCGAACCTCGAAGTTCCCATTTACTTGATTTACCACAAGAAGTGAATCACATTTTGATTTGATGACTTCCGCTCCTAGGCCTTTTGCCAATTCCAAACCTGTAATCATAGCCTCATACTCGACTTCATTGTTAGTCAACCTTGCAGTTTTTACAGATTGCCTAATCATGCCGCCTATATGTGGCTTCAGAACTATGCCGAGCCCGGACCTTTTCACATTCGAGGCGCCATCAGTGAACAAGGTCCATATCCCCGAAGATGTGCCCGTTTTTAGTAGAATTTCTTTCTCTACCTCAGGCACGAGGGCAGGCGTAAAGTCGGCCACAAAATCTGCCAGAAATTGGGACTTGATAGCCATTCGGGGTTGATACTCGATATCGTACCCCCCCCCCCCCCCCGAGTTCGACGGCCCATTTGTCCAGTCGGCCCGATTATTCGTGCTTATGCAATATGGTTCGAAGAGGATATGTCGTTAAAACACAAATATGTTGGCATTGAAAATAAGGCTTTAATTTTCGAGATGTGCTTATCAATGCAAGAGCTAATATTTCTAAGTGTGGATACCTGGTTTCGGCATATCCCAGGGTCCGACTTACATAGTAGACAGGGAATTGCGTACCTTGTTCTTCTCGAACCAGCACACCACTTACCACTACCTCGGATAAGGCAAAGTACAAATACAACGTTTTATCCTCCTTTGGGGTATGGAGTAAAGGTGGGCTTGTCAGATATCGCTTCAACTCCTCTAAGACGCGTTGGCATTCTAGAGTCCATTCGAAGCTGTTTTTCTTTTTGAGTAAAGAGAAGAAATGATGACTCATGTCTGATGACCTCGATATGAATCGGTCCAAGGCTGCTATCCACCCGGTCAGCCATTGCACAGCCTTCACATTGTTTACCACCGTGATTTCTTCGATGGCTTTGATTTTGTCGGGGTTAATCTTAATCCCCCTGTTTGACACCATGAATCCTAAGAATTTGCCCGAATCCACTCCGAAGGCACATTTCTCGGGATTGAGTTTCATGTTGTAGCTTTTGAGGAATGTCAAATGTCTCATGTAAATGAGTCAAATGGTCCTCTACGCGTAGAGACTTAACTAGCATATCATCAATGTAAACTTCCATGGATTTTCCTATTTGATGTTCGAACATCTTATTAACTAGGTGTTGGTACATGTCTCCCGTGTTTTTTAGCCCGAAGGGCATCACATTGTAGTAGTATGTACCATTTTTTGTGATGAACAAAGCCTTTTCCCTATCCTCAGGTCTCATCTGGATTTGATTATACCCCGAGTATGCGTTGAGAAAGGTGAGGATATCGTGGCCAGCTGTGGCATCAATCAAGCAGTCAATGTTAGGTAACGAGAATGAATCTTTGGGGCACGCTCTATGTAAGTCTTTATAATCTATGTATATCCTTAACTTAATCCCCTTTTTGGGAACTAACACCACATTGGCCAACCATTCTGGATAGTTTACCTCCCCAATAGACCCTATTTTGAGGAGTTTTGTTACCTCGCCCTTGATGAACGCTTGTTTTACCTCGGACTGAGGTCTTCTTTTTTGCTTTACCGGTTTGAACCTGGGGTCGACACTTAGTCGATGAGTGGTTATTTTCGGTGGGATCCCTATCATATCTAGATGGGACCAAGAAAAGCAATCGATGTTATTAATAAGAAATTGAATGAGTTTTTTCCTGGGTTTGGGGGTTAATCCCGTTCCTAGCTATACCTTCCGACCTGGGAGATGTTCGATCAAAGTAGCTTGCTCCAACTCTTCAATTGTTGATTTTGTTGCATCCGATTCTTTGGGGGCAACAAAGGTTCGAGGAGCAAGGAAGTCTTCTTCATCCTCCTCGGGGGTCTACTTGCCCTCCGGCTCCATCGAGGTGGAGGGTATGGAAGTTGGTGGCTCCCTGTGAGCCGCGAACATCTCCTTCGTCGCATGCTATTCTCCATATACCATTTTTATACTGTCTTTTTGTTAAGCCCCGCAATTTTACGTCAATATTACGCCTCGTAGTATTATATCACGATGATGGTGTTACCCTCTGCAGTATTAAGTTACGACAGCGTTGTACCCTGTAGTATTGTACGTTGAATTTGTCATAAGAAAATTGACATCAGTCCAAGAAAAAGATTATTTGGGGGTTATAAAGATTATAAGTGATGAATAAATTCATGAAGGATAAAGGGGCACACGGATTAAAGAAAACGAGTTTCGTTGAAGTGCACAATTTGGAATAAAATGCGGGTCGAGCGATAATTATGAACCAGTACCATGCAAGGTACCATATAACCACGGTAGTATTATATATATAAAAAGTATATATGAAGTATTTTAAAAGTAAATAGAATTTTAAGTAATTTATGGTAATTTTTAAATTATGCGGGTAATTGATTAATTACCGGGTAACAGGACATTACCTAGTTAACTAATAAGTGGATAAAAAAATAATAATTAATCCTCCACACGTGGCAAAAAGCCACCAAGTCAAAAATGTGACTAATAAGTCACTTATGCAAGATGTCATCTAGGAAAAGGATGAGTAATCAAGAATTCTTATCTGCCAAGATTCAAAATGAATCAAAGGAGTTCTCTCAAATCTAAAACAAAGAATCAGAAACATTTCCCTCCTAAGGTTTCAAACCAAAAACGTGGATCAAATTGAATTATAGATTTCAGTCCTTTTGTCTTTGATTTCAAGACCAAAGACGTTGGAAATTGAAAAGTTGTTCATCCCAACATTTCAACCAAGTCTTACAGTTAAAGTTGAAAGCTAGAAACAAAAGCTTCAACGTTGGAACAAAGATAGGAATTTCGTTCCAAATTTCAAATCCAAAGTATAAATTACGTTCAAGAATTTCGCAGAAATAGATTCGTTCAGATAATTTCAAGGACGGGTATGTTAAGGCTACCCCTTCTTTCTTTTGGCATGATCCCAACGATATGAACGAAACGTGCAAATGCACAAATTTCAAAAGTGACTCTACTCATAGAAGTAATAGAAATATCTATGTTCTTTAATTTCCAGGTGTCATAATATTTTATCATCTGTTCATGGGTCTCAGAAAAATACGAAAGTTGAAAGGATGTTACTTTGTGATATTGCTCAAGGGGCAAAATGGTCTTATGACATTTTGAATGGTTTTATTGACGTACTTTTCATGCTTTGCATCCACGTGCATTGACCCATGACCAGATGACGTTATATACGCGCATATATGTAAATATATGTATATGGGATATGGGAAAAGGTTATGGCGTTATATACGCACCACCACCTGATCAGCTGGTATATGATGATGATGTTGCCCACAGTGGCTGAAATATGATTCAAACGGCGTTATATACGCATATATGGGTATGTATTCAAATGGCGTTATATATGCATATATATGTATGTATTCAAACGGCGTTATATATGCGTATATATGTATGTATATATATGTATATGGGATATGGGAAAGGTTATAGCGTTATATACAAACCACCACCTGATCAGCTGGTATACTATGATGATTTTGGCCACAGTGGCCGATATGATATGATGGGATGCCCTCAGAGGCTGATGATGTTATGAAATATATACCTATGCACGACATGACATTCATACACATATTCATGACGCTGAAAGTAATTTATGATTTACAAAGTTATTCAGACGTACGGGTTTAGTCATGTACTCCATATGTCTTCCAAGTCTCCTATGTATTTATTTATGTGCCTTACATACTCGGTACATTATTCGTACTGACATCCCTTTTGCCTGGGGACACTACGTTTCATGCCCGCAGGTCCTGATAGACAGGTCGAGAGCCTTCCAAGTAGGCTATCAGCTCAGCGGAAGATGTTGGTGCGCTCCATTTGCTTCGGAGCTGCGTATTTGGTTAGTATGATTTAGACGTCTATTGTTTGGTATGGCGGGACTCTGTTCCGACTTTTGTGACACTTATGTACTCTTAGAGGCTTGTAGACATATGCCGT